CCCCCCCCGCCCCGCCCCCGTCACACCAACTCCCGGGGGAGCAATTGGCTTCCTGCAGCCCCATCCGGCCCGTCCCCTTCCCCGGGGTGACGGGGGGGACGGGGACGGGACTTCCGCCGAGCCCCACGTCAGGGGACCAAGATGGTCTCTTGGGAAACCTCTGGGGTGAGTCAGGCTCGGCAGGGACAGGGACAGGTTCGGGGTGAATCACCGGCCCTGAGAGCCAGGCGGGCCCGTGACTCGCTGTCCCTGGAATTCGGGGTGCCAGGACGGGGCGAGGAGGCAGCAGGCGCTGCAGCAGCCCCGCGACAGGATGAGGCCAAATCACAGGTGGCAGGAGAAACAGCACGTCCCGGTCAAGCCCAGGATCCCTGTTCAGGGCCGTCCCCACAGACAGGGAGCGGTGACCCGGCCTTGGGGACCCCGGCGCTACTGTGAGGGGGCAGAGCATCGCAGGACCCCATGTGCTGGGGCGAGAGCTCGGAGTCAGGGTGCAGGTGCATTCCAGGGGGTTGGCGCCCGCCCCCGTGTCCTGGTCCCGGTGTTGTCCCCAACCAAGACCCCAACCAGGAACGGTCACTGTGGCCACCACGGGTGCCAGCCTGGCAGCGGTCCACGCCAGCCCACCGCACCTATCAGGGCTCGTTGGAGGGGCGCGTGGTTATTTGAGGCTGCAAAACTGGGTGCCTGGTGCCATCTCGATGCCCCCGGCCCCGGCACGGCAGGCGCCCGGCAGCTCCCCCTGCTCCAAACCCCAGGGATGGAAAAGCCTCCTCCATGCTCCAGTGATGGGACGGAGAGACAAGATCGGCCCAGCCCCGGCACCAGCAACTGGAGCAACTGGTTTAGCTGGGTCAAAGTGGAGCACTGGGAGTCGCAGCGGTTGAAACCTGTTCCAAGATGTGTGTAAACCTCCTGGCATGTCCCTCGCTGCTCCCGGTTTGGTAAGAGCTTGTCCTGGGGATCCGCCAGCGCGGACACGCCGGGCGTGCTCTCCCCACGGC